TTTTCCTTTCTTTTATGGATTTTCTAGGGAGTTACGTGAGTTGACCTTGGCTGGATGCCAGGTGCCAACCAAGCTGCTCTACGCCTCCCCAGCTGAATAGGGGGGGTGAATGTAAAACCGAAAATGACTCATAGGTTGAGATAAGGCATATTACTAAACCAAAAGTGAAAGTTTGCACACAAACAAGMAAAGACAATAAAGAAGGGTTTATTCTCAACCTCACATCAGCAATGACATTCAGCCACTTCCTGCGAAGCAGTGCTTCAGCACTCRTAGCAGTTGCTCCAAAAGGTTTACACTGTAAATAACCAATATCCCCCTTCCTTCTCCTTCCCTTAGCTTTTATATCTGAGCTGACATAATTTAGCATGGAATATCAGTTTGGTCCACTGGGGTCAGCTGTCCTAGTTGTGTGCCCTCCCAGGATCTTGCCCCACTACCAGCCTGCTAGCAGGAGGGGGGGGGAATTGATGGGACTGTGTTGTTGCTGTGCCAGCTCTGCTCAGCTGTAGTCAAAACAGTGGAGTATTATCAGCACTTTTTCAGCTACCATTGCACRGCAGAGCTCTGTGAGGCCTGCTGTGGGGGAATGAACTCCGTCTCAGTCCTGTGCTATAGCAGAAAACTCAGTAACTCTACAAGCCTCTCACCAGGTCCACAAATTTTCCTTCAGAGAATATTTTAGACCAATGGGTCTAAATGTATATGTTTCATATAAAAACATTCAGCATTATAGCTGGCCGTTGTTTCTAACAGGAAGATACATCTGGGTCCTTCATTTCGATTACATGCTAACCCTGAATTACATGGGCTAATTATTATGAAGAAGGAGAAATAGCATGTTGAGAATCAACAAACCTCTCTGAATTAGATGCTACATGTGCAGGGCATTWTCAGTGTTTCCTAACCGTAAACTACAGCCCTGAACACAATTTTGTTTCATCAAACTTTATGGGTACTTGAAGGTGCCATATTAACCCTTAAATTCCAGTGAAAAGTGCTTCTGTACAGTTGCAGCCCTGCATCCAATAAGTGGATTGAATCATCATCATTCCTTCTGTAATGTATCAGACTTATCTTGATCCAAGTCAAATGTTCATATTAATCTTTTCGGTAACTTTTCATTTGCATCAACTTTTAAAAAACCGCTTGTCTTCCCATTTCCACTGATGTAATTAATTACTTCAACACTACATATTTTTCAGGTGTCGTCTCTTTTCTTAAGTCACCTCTTGAACTGTTCAGCTCTATTTCTTTTCTAATGCCCACTGGCTWCTAAGGGAATTTGGCATTTGCTTTCTTCTGGGACTTTATTTAAATTACACCAGTTTTATTAAATTCACCTACAAGMGGTGGAGTTGCATATGAAATAAACTGGTGCCCATTTCCCATGATTTTCCATCTTCTGAATTTATCTCTCATTGTGTAAAATTTCTGTCTCTCATTCTGAGTGCAGGGACAGCTACAGGGGATTTTTTATTCCTCTTGAGCTAACAAGTATCCAGGATTTCTCTTCTGTGCTTCCGTGCATCAGTGGTGCAAATATTGACTGCACTCCTGCATGCATCACAAGTATTCATTAGAAGTCTTTCTAGCTCTCTCATTCAATGTCTTTGRTCTTTCTTCTCTCTTTTTACCACAGTGAAGTTGTAAAAGACCCATCTCCTTTCTGGGCAARTCCAAGAGACACTGAGCAGCAGAATGAATTTTTTAACCACCCAGGCAAAACTAGACAAATTCCACATCCAACCTTGAGAACAGGCATAAGACACAGGTGAATGACTTGGTAATTTTCCATAACTTCCACCAGCAGGAAGCCTCTTGCTGTATTGTAAGGCTGGAAGAGAAATGCCACCTGCTCACTGGGGCCTTGTGAGATGCTCAGGGGACGGGGAGGAAGGAGTGGGCTTTGGCATTGGCACTGGCAAAAGTGCTTTCCTGCGAGGCATCTCTGCCCTGCCCATGCAGCATCAGTGTCAGATGCTGTCCCTCATTGGGCTCCCAATGCCAGGCACAGCTCAAAAATCCAGGGAAAGCTAAGCAAAGCACTGGAAGGCATAAATTACCTGCACCGAGGCAAGAGGGAAGAAAAACAGAAAGGGAAAAGGACAAATTATATGCCCATTAATTCCTTAAAAATTATCTTTGAATTGGACAAAAAAATACATTATTCTTTGCTCATTTATGAGAGAATTTTCTGACTTACATGAGCTAATTTAAATTTCTGCAACCTCAAGTGGATCTCTGTAAATGCTTTATATTTTATTCCCACATATAAAAATATCACTGCACTATTTTCTCCTTCACTGGAAGCAGTGTAATGGCTTTCTAATTTACCAGACCATTTACTGCTGACAGATGTGAGTTTCAGCCAAAATATTTTCCACAAAGAAAACAGTAAAACATCTAAACAGACGTTTTCCAGCAAACATATCTCTTGGCATTGTTAATTAYAGGGTACGTTGCAAAAAGTCTCTCTGTTTAAATACCTGTCCTTCCTGTAAGGGACATCTAGATTAACATTTCTGAGAGCACAAAAGCAATTCAGACGCCTGTTTGATCACCATTCAAAAAAGATCAGACCGCAGGGATACGTATGGAATATATGTACATTTCTGTATAAAAATAATGTCTCTTGCACGTAACTAAAGCAGCAGCGCTCCCTGTAAGCAGCAGGTGGTGCTACTGGATCATTCTGGAGAAGTAAGGCTAGAGATGTGCATCCTATTTTTATTCTGTTGCTGATTAAACATATGCAAACAGATTAACGGTACAGGTTTTCTAGGTTTTTTTTCCTTATTTCAATAATATCTTTAAATTTCAAATGTATCTTTGATACAGAAGGGTAGTATATGAACAAAACAATATGACTAATTCTCTTCAATCTTACAAAAATAAAGCTTCAGACAAGATGAAACTCATTTATATTCTGAACATAAAACATTAAATTCGAGAGCCTTCTGCTCGAATGAATAGCAAAAAGAGATGTATTCACTGTCCTAACGTTGAGCGTGATTGCGTTCCTCATTCGTTGAAGTGGGTCAGTGATTACTGCTTGAATCCTGTAAACAGTTTAGTGTTCCTTATTTGCATATTAATCAGGATAATAGTGTGAGTGTTTAATCACACCCTTCATCAGGGATGTCTGGTTTGCTGCTCAAATACTGCAGCCATCCTTTAGAGACTGGGAAGATATGTGCACAAGAGCTTATGTGTGGCATAATCCCTCTTAAATGTCACGCGACACATTTTGCTGAAAAATACACAACTTGAGATGATCAGAATAGGAGAATGTTGGTTGT